TTTATTTTTTGTAAATAAGTTAGGCCATATGCCGATAATTATATTCTAACAAGTAACAGGCTATGTCAGGCTAACACATTTAAACATAGACTTAGCTTTTTAAGACCAAAATCTGACTCAGCTCGGCCCATTAACAACCCTAATTCTGAGCTATAAGAAAACTAAAAAGAAAAGTAAAATAATTCTATGAAGGAAAAGGAAAATAATCATAAGAAGGAAAAGGAAAATAATTCTAGGAAGGAAAAGGAAAATAATCCTACGAAGGAAAAGGAAAATAATCATAAGAAGAAAAAGAAAATAATTAATTTCAATAATAAAAGGAAATAAATTCTACGAAAATCATATCTTCAGCCAGGTACCACTACTCTGGGCTACCTTTATCCCTAAGAAATTTTGAAGTTTACCAAGATCCTGAGGCAAGCCATAAAGAGCCAGCAATATAAAAAAAGGTGTTTCGTTATTCAAGTTCTGTAGTACGATCCTCAACTAGGAGTAGAAGCTCAATGAAGTCGTGGACCAAGCCATGAGTCTTTGCTAAGTATGAAGACATAAGGCCATCAAAATGCCAGGGTGATATGACATCCATTAGGTTTTTGCTAACACCATAGAGACGCTGAGTGTCATTAGTATACAATTCCTTAGCCTAATGCTAAATATATTCACATATAACATGAGTACGAAAGATATGCTTAAAGGAAGGGTGAATTATGAATTTAATGACACTGCATAATTGGGCATTGTTAACTCTCCCATAGAGAGTTAATTTTGGGCTTAATATTAATGATTTAGTGCCTGATATTGTATAAAATTCCCTTAGAATCATAATATAATTGCATTAATCCTATATTTTGTGTTTTGAATAAGAAATATGCTAAGTGTTTATATTTGAAATTATTTTGAGTGCTAGAGCTATTCACTGTCTTAGGATTTTTTGTTGCAGGTCAAAGCACAACAATGCTATAACAATGGTGCATTTAATGAAACGATGCATTTTGAAGCTTCAGTAGAGTGTATAAGAAGATAAGCATTCAAATTAAATTCAAACACAAAATTAAGGCGCTACAACATTGAATAAGGGATAAGAAGATTGCGAAAGTTAAGAGATAAACATATATCCTATCAAATCCTAAAATCCAGCAATTAAGTCATATTAGGAGACTATTTTTTAGGGAATTCAAATTCAAAAGTTACTTAATGCCCAAGTCAGCATTCCTTTATAAATAAAGAAGCTTATCCACATCCAAAGTATGCACAAATGATTGAAAATGTTTTCAAGACTTCGTTGAGAGGAATCCAACGAGTCAAGGGGTGAAGTTAGGGTCTAATAGAGGAATCATTAGATTCGGTTGATCCCAGTACTTCTATGGAAGCTTAGAGATAGTGGAGAGTGGCGATACATGGATTTGCTGGGGGAGCAGAGCTACAACAAAGCTATTGTGTTTCTTTTATTTTAAGTATGAGCTAAATTTCTTAGAATTGGGTGATAGAGTACCCATATTATACTGTAATCATGGATGCCTAAACTTTGCTTTATTATTTTTTCATTAGTTGTTTAATAAAGTATTTCATTCTTAATATTGTTGACTTACCGGGAAGGAGCTGCAAGTGTTTTATGATTTAGGCTATAGAAATAAAGGTGAATCTGGTTCCTTACTAAACAATGTGGATTAAACTAAGTTAATTTAATTTAGTTGAGTTGTGGGTACATAGATGGTCCACACCATATAGCCATAGGGAACTTGAACTTAATGAATTCAATAGTCAGTTTTGCATAGGGATATAAGAATTGGTTATTGGGTATATATGTAAAGTTGGCTGAAGTCCCTATGTACAACTAAGTGTTCTGGTTACTAATGGAAGATAGTTGTAGCATTGTTCTAGCATTCTTGTAATGTTACAATAATGGGAAAATTGATCCCAATCTACCTTTTGATACTTGAAATTTGATCTTTTTAGTATGTTTTTATACTAAGTCAATAGTCTTAGCTTAGTTTATTCATTAGTTAGAAATTTAGACTTTAGTTTAGTCCTTAATCATTATCATTATCACTCTTATTGCTTCACTTAGGCCATAACTTCATAATTTTCTCTTTGAGAACAATACTTGGACTTACACATTCTATATTACTTGTAATAACATGCACTGCGTTACTATGAAGATTATTATAAGATAGCAAAAAGGTGATATTTGACGGTGGACGATGACGATAGCGTGATAGGAGACGAGATTGAATGAGATATTAAGCATTTGCAAGGATGGAAGACCAAAAACCAAGGGGACAACACAATTTTTTTTTAAAAAAATATCGCTAAGGGTAAGCACAAATTAGGATTGTCTCTCGTTCGATTCTTGATATTATGTTAAAAGAGAGGAAAATGAAAGACATAGGAAATAATCTGCGTGCTTTAGATAAACAGTGAAGACACTATTATATAATTAAGTAAAAGAGAATATACATAAAAATTACATGATGTGGGACTATATTTCATACACTAAACTAGTCTATATACGATACTTTCAACATAAATATTTTAATTTGATTCAATTTTATTTTATTTTATTTGAAATGTATGAAAACTAAATCTTGAAATAGGTTCGTGTATGGTATGGAAGTGGAACAGACTTTGGTCTCTCAGCCAGGAGTCTCGTTTTTAAGCCTCAAGTTGAAGATTGCATGGATAGTTGCAATAAAAAGGGCGGGAAGCTTCTCAATCATGTTTCTTTGCTTAAGTTAGTAGTAATTAATAAAGGAGAAAATGGTTTAAAATGGGAGTGAGAGTACCTTTGTAATAAGGGGAAGTTTAACATTAATAGGCATTAAGTTTGACACCAAATTTGCCCGTGTCCTTTCTTTTGTGGTTATGTTTAGTCTTTGTTTTCCTGGACATTGTGCTGTTTAATTTTGGAAAAAAATTGCATAATTCCCTGGACTCAAAATAACATTATTTTTAAGCCAATAAAAAAAAGTTAATGGTAATTTTTTTGAATAATTTACACGAAATTATGTATCATTATATAAAAAATGACTTAATTTTTAGATTATTTAAATTTATATGAATTAACTACTTAAATTCAAATAATAAATTATTTGATTAAAAAGTTAAAATCTTTAATGCAGCATTTGTAATATATATTTATTTATTGCCTTTTATATTTTCTCTTTCACAAAATTAGAAGAAAATATAAAAAATGCACATTTCAGTTAAAGTAACACAAAATTGATTTAAAAAAAATAAGTAACACAAAATTATATCCTTTAAAATAATATATATATATATATATATATATATATATATATATATATATATATCCATATGCTTTTAACACGTGGACCAAATAAACACGTGGACCAAATAAACACTCGTCTTTTTTGTAATCAAATATAGGCCTGCACCTTATTTTAGTTTTTTTTTTTTTTTGTAATGCACCTTATTTTAGTTTAATATACGTTGACGCAACCAAATGAAATTTCATTTTCACTTGTATTTTTATAAACTTTATTGTTGTCCAGTAAAATTAAAATAAGAAAGCCATCATTTTGCTCAAATGTTTCACTAGTATAGAAGAGAGAGAGAGAGAGAGAGAGGCTAATTTGTGTTTTTTTTTCCTATTTGTCTTTGTCTTTATCATGATTGCATACTGTAATCTTTGTTTTGCTTGACATTGTGTTATTTATTTTTTTTATTTTGGTAACATGACATTGTGTTATTTAATTTGGATAAAAATTGCATAATCACCCGGACTCAAATGACTTTGTTTATTACATTATTTAAGTGTATGTGAATTAACTACTTTATTTAAAATTATAAAAAATAATTGATTAAAAAGATAATATTTACAGGAACATTTCCATACAAAAATACTATGATTAAAGCAATTATATGCAGGGTTTTATAAGAGTTATGTTGTAGGAAAAGTGATTGTGTAATGTTATAGAGATTCGTTTTGCGTGCCTTAATTTTTTATTTATTTTTTTGTTTTAAAAAGTGTGGGCCCCACAAAATGTTGTGAGTGTAGGAAAGTTTGTTGTGTTATGTTAAAGGATAAAACGAAAACCCTTATATGCAAAGTATTATTAAAGCAAATTTGTAATAATAATATTTGTACAAATTTACGATCCATACAATTTTTCTTATTGTTGGAAATATTCAATTTTTATCACTTTACAACTAGTTTGATTCAGAATGAATTTTACAAATTTCTTATTCAATCCCACAAGGCCACAAGTCATAAATAATATGGTGATCCTTATATAATTTTTTATTTATTAATATTATGATACATTCGAAAAAAATATTATTTTTAAACTAGTTGACACATCAACTCCTGAGATGGATTGATATTTTCAATCTACTCATCAATGATGGGTCAATTCACTCTACCCTATTCTTAATGGATTGGAGGCAAGACGGATTAATCCATAATTCTACTCTTAAATTTGTCATTACACCATCAAAGCTTTGATAATATAGGTGTACAGTCAAACTTGAGTCACATTAATTATTTATTTTTTTAGAAATATATCAATCATATCGTCACTTCGAAACTAATTCAACTCAAAGTAATTTCAAGATTAAAATTTTAAATATTTTTAAAGATGATATGAGAATGAGTCACATTAATTATATATGATGAATAGAATGGATAAGATTAATTATATTATTTATTTTTAATTTTAATAAATAATATATTAAATCGTCAATACTATAAAATTACCGAAAATATTTCCAATACACAACAAATTGACGAAACTTTAAAAATCCTTATTTCAATTTTCAAACTAAAGTAAAAAACAAAAAAAAAAGGTTGCTCTTAAAATACCAACAGCTCCAAACATCTAATGTTTTTTAATTCTCTTACCCACACTCTCAGGCGCTTTGTTTCAAACTTGTCTCTCTTTTTAATTACCTAATTTTATTTTATTTGTGTTTCGCATTCGTCATTACCATTAAACTCCTCACGCAATCCGATTCTCAAGCACAAAACATCAATTGAGATTAACCAGAGAGACAGAATCGCTTAACCCACAAATAATCCCAGGGTTACCCTCTTCATTTGCCACAAATAGAAACTGCTGCAAAATTCACACACAAAAATTTCCAAACCCAAAACTAAGACAAACACAGAATACACACACAGCGACAGAAAAATTAACAGAAAAACAAATTCAAACCACCATAGAGAGATATATGGAGAGAGAATAGAATAGAATAGATTATGTAATGCATCAGAAGAAATCAGAGGTTCAGATCGGAAAAGAAAGCATTGGCGTCTCTTCCGATTTCAATCCAACACCACCACTTCAATACCCATCTTCAATTCACCAAAAACACCACCATCATCCTCATCATAATCACTACCATCATCAATTTTACCCACAAATCATTGAACCCTCATCTTCACCTTACAAGAGACCCCAATTAACTCAACCCTCTGAAAAATCCCAACCGCCACAACAACAACAACCGCCGTTAAAGCCTCACAACGCCGCCTTCTTTTCCGTCACAATCGCCGCCTTCAGCCTCCTCCGCCGCCTCAAGCACCTCCGCGCCATCCTCCTCCTCTCGCTCCCATTCTTCTACATCAACTTCCTCGTCTCTCGTTCCTTCCTCTTGGACTTTCTCTCAGCCTTGGCTCTTCTCTTCTCTCTCCACCTCGCTTTTTCCCTCCCCTTTTCAATTCGCTCCTTCCCCATCAAACTCAAATGCTCCTCCGCCATCTTCCGCCGCCCTCCGCCGCCGCTCCCGGTGTTCTGGACCATCGGGTCGCGGCACAAGCCGGATAAGAGGGTCGCCACCTCAGGGTGCTGGGTTCAGGTGTATGGAAACGGCGACGTTTATGAGGGTGAGTTTCATAAGGGTAAGTGTTCAGGGAGTGGGGTGTATTACTATAGCATGAGTGGGAGGTATGAAGGTGATTGGGTTGATGGGAAGTATGATGGGTTTGGGGTGGAGACTTGGGCTAGGGGTAGCCGGTACCGGGGGCAGTATCGGCAAGGGTTGAGACATGGTTTTGGTGTGTATAGGTTTTACACTGGTGATGTTTATGCTGGTGAGTGGTCTAATGGCCAGAGTCATGGGTGTGGAGTTCATACTTGTGAAGATGGGAGTAGGTATGTTGGAGAGTTCAAATGGGGTGTTAAGCATGGCATTGGCCGCTACCATTTCAGGTGAGTTTTGTCTAAATTGTTTTGTAGGTTTCCCGCGAAATCGTTCCTATCGTGTTAAAATTTCATATGGTGCAGTCGTGTGAAAATTAAATGCATATAGAGAGAGATAGATATAAAATATTTGTATGTGGAATTTTAGCATGTGAGGATTCATTCCCCGTTTTGCCTTTGGTGTTGTTGCCTTGTCTTTCTCTAGGATTCCACATGTGAAATGGTTTCGTAGGTTTCTGGGGATTGGATCCTCTCATTTTTAAAATTTCAAGTAATTTTGTTATGTAAAATTTTTGTGTCTATCTATTAGATCTTATTGAAATTTGTTAATATTTATGTAGAGGGAGATATACATAAAATTTTCAATGTGAAACTTTAAGATGAGAGGGTCATTTGCCTTTGGTGTTGCATTGTTTTTTTTCCTAGCATTTTAAAATGAAGAATGATGGTATTTCAGGTTTTATTAGATGTAAATGGTTACTTGCATGTTTTATTTGCTTCCGCAATGAGTTAGTGAGGCTCGTGAATTATTGAATACCATTCCTCTTGTACATTTATTATTACAGTTTCAAGTGTGTTAATAGGGGATGAAACATGCAAAATGTCTTCAATTTGGTCTATCTGTTGCTTCAGTTTTGTCAAAATACCTCTTGGGCATTTGAAAATATTTTGCTTGCCCTTCTGTTTACCTGTTGATGACAAGTGTTGAATTGAATACTTTGTGCACGATTATGAAACCACTGTTTTGAGGATGTTTGTTTTTAGCGCATCTTTAGCCTTTTTGGGGAAGGAACTAAGAAGTAAGAAATAAATTTAATTAGACGAATTGGATATCTTCAATTTCAAGCTGGTAGATATCGGCTAATTTGTGGTGATTGTGTATTCTATCTATGAAGAATTAAGAATATAAGAAACAAATGTGGAATTATGAATGGAGTTGTCTGCACCTTTTTGTTTGCTCACCATGAAAAGTTCAGATGTTTTATTTTTCTTGTAACTAATTACTTTTTTATTTAATTAGAAATGGAGATACATACGCGGGTGAATATTTTGCGGACAAGATGCATGGGTTTGGGATATATCGTTTTGCAAATGGCCATCGTTATGAAGGAGCCTGGCATGAGGGAAGAAGGCAAGGACTTGGAATGTATACATTTAGAAATGGCGAAACCCAACATGGTCACTGGCAAAATGGAGTCCTTGATATTCCAAGCACACAGAATACCACTTATCCAGTTTCTCCTGTTGGTGTTTATCATTCCAAAGTACTCAATGCGTTGCAGGCACGTACTTTGTGTTTACGATTTTTTCCATTAGTTTTTGTTAAATTTTCTTTCCCCAGTTATAAATAAAGAAAAAAGAACATTGTTGAATATTTTCTCTTTGTCTACACGGTGTCCTAGTCTGGAATCTAGATGAATCTGTCTTTGCTGATTGCTGTGAATATGTTACTTCGAAGATAGGATGATGTGCCAATCTATTCTTTATCTAACTTTGCTTTGGTGGTATTGTTAATTAATATGATATGACTCATTTCAGAGTTTGGGGAGGGAGGAGTTCATGATGGTTGAGTTATTAGTTAAATATTTGTTGATTTGAGTCTTTAGCTTACAAATTACTGGAAGAAAACAGGATTTCATTGAAGTTGAGGGTAAAGACAGATTCTTGGATTTCTTGTCTTATATGCTTAAAATTAGCGCAACCTTGTAAGAGGAAAGGGACAAGACAAACTGCCAATAGTTAGATAATTTACAGCATTATGAGCTTTCAATTGTGTTTCTTTGTTAAACAAATAGGACGCAGGACGAACAACAGAGAAAGTCTATGATAGGGGCAAGTTAGATAATTTACAGCATTCTGAGATTTCAATTAATTTTGTGTTTCTTTTTTGAACAAATAGGAAGCAAGACGAACAGCAGAGAAAGCCTATGATGTGGCCAAGGTAGATGAAAGGGTGAACAGAGCAGTAGCAGCTGCTAATAGAGCAGCTAATGCAGCTAGAGTAGCTGCGGTCAAGGCTGTGCAAAAGCAAATGCATCATGTTAATAGTGAAAGCTTCCAAATTCCTGTTGTGTAAAACCATCAACTGCTGCTTTTATATTAGTAGAGAAGCTTGAGATTGTTGGAGAGGATGGTGGCTACACTAGTTTAAACAGCTTCATACCTATTGCAATCATCTCTTTGGCTTTATGCTTTCTCTAAATTGAACTTTGATTATTGGCTCCTAGAACCTTATCCCCAGGTAGCAGGCTGAAAGCAAGCAGATTTGTTATCTATCTGCTACGGGCCTTGTATAGAGGGAGGAAGGGTAATGGCACCCACATGGTAAAACTATTCTATAGATAATTTTTCATTTTGTCCCCTTTTACTACATTTTTGTAAATTTTTGCAAATGTAAATACTAGTGTGCAGGTGAAACCTTGAACCGGCTACTGTTGTATTATCTCTTGGTAAAATAAGGAGAGGAGAAACATATATTAAAATGTTTTTCCCCCAACTTGAAGTTATTTGCTTTAGCTGACTTGGGAATGATATGATGTAAATTTTGATATGATGTAAATTTCATTTCCTGATAAAAAAAAGTGTTTACCATTAGTTTGATAAGTATCTTAAAATGTTAAATGGTACAGATAAATAGTTGATATTTTGTATGAAAAATTTTCTGCGAAAGTTAGAACAATGTTCTTAGTGCCTGTTTGGATGCTCTCTTTTTTAAGCTAGAAGCTACTTATAAGCATAAATTAGGCCAAACAGATTTTGAGAAAAACTCTTTTTTATATAATGAAGGAGGAGCTTTTATTTAAGCTCTTATCTGTTTTTCTTGAATTGTGTACTTTTTTTTTTAAATGAAGAGTGATAAAGATAGAGAGAGAGATAATTTTCTTGAAATATGTGCTTTTAAGTAATTTTTAAGCTAAATTTTTTATGTAATTTTTAAATAGCTTTTAGCTTATTTTGTTAAGCTCTTTTTTTTAGCTTTAATTTATAAGTAGCTTCTAACTTAAAATTAAGAGGATCGAAACTGATTCTTATTTTTTTTTCGGGGGCTGGGGGGTGAAGGTTGCCGTGAAGCTGATTTTCGTAAGAGGCTACCATTTTCCTTCGCTTTAGGAGTGCATAATAATAAAAATTGCCTTATTTTAGCTGTCTCATTGCCTTACCTAATAATATCTTAAATTCCAGACATAATAACTTAAAAATATATTAAAATAAAACAAAAAGAGGGGAGTTAGATGAATGAATAGTAAGTTTATCTTATTCGTAAGGTCAAACCAAACACTGAATAAAAAAAAGAAGGGGGGGATAAGTTATCTTTGGTGCCAAACAAATTATACTCGTAAACATTGGTTGGGTTTGACATAGCCCAACCTTGGCTTAGATTTTTACCGGGTCAAGTGTTAGTTAGATCGCTCTATTTAATTGGCTCATTTGTTTTATTTATTTATTTATTATTATTATCAGTGACGGAGATGGACTCCAATTTGAGCTCGGGTTAAAAAATTATATGTGTATTTTTTTTTTTAATTTTAGTTAGTTCATATCATAATATATTTAAATTATATTAAATATAGAGCAACTGAGCATACAGCACTAAGAAGAGTTATAATTTTATTAAATATATTTTAATTTTACCAAAAATATTTTATTTTTTTTATAGAAGTGAAAATTTAACACATAACCTAATACAACTTATCTAAATCTTTAACCAAAAATATTTTATGTTTTAGATGAGGTCAAATTACAAATTGTATCCTGTGCCAAATTATAATTTGAATCCGGGTCAAATTATAATTAATTATATAATTATATATAATAAGTACAATTTATTAAAATTTAACTTGGGTCAAGATCATACCCCGGCTATATATGGCTCATTATTATTATTTTTACTTTAACTAGCTCATTTCATTTTTTTTAGTACACGACGTGCTAAGCCCAAAAAAGAGAAAACACAGCAAATTAAATAGAAACACAAGTTTATGCAAAACAACGTAGATCCTAAAGAATACTATAATAAAGTTCAAAGTAGTAAAAGCAAAGTTAGCCATTCAATCGACACATTTATTTCTGTCACTTAGTGTATGGTTGAATTGAAAAGATCCCATTCTTCCTCCTTCCATTCAAAATACATTGAACAACAAGTTGGCATGGATTTTCTTTATTTATAGGGTTGGTGAGCAACTGGATAACAATGGTTGAGTCAGTTTCAATTGCCACCTTTGAAGCCTTCATCAACCAAACCACCTCCATGCCTCAAATGATGCTCCCAAGTTCTGTTGTTAAAGGATTGCATCTACCAATCTTACAAGTAAAACCAACAATCCATGATCCAATCGAACAAGTCCTCTACAAGCAGCATCGTTGAAAGGCTGTTTAACTGCTCCATCTACATTAAGTTTCCCCAGTCTTGTTGAGGAGTTTGGCAAGTTACTACTGTTGTACTTAAGATGGATGAAGGCTGACGATATCTTGAGTCCATTGCAGTGCGCACTTCAGAGATGTTAATTTAGATATGATAAGGTTGGGCTGTGATGGTGGCTTAAAACATGGGAGTGGATTTCATTGTTGCTCCACTGCCAAAGGAACCAACATGTAATAAAGAATATGTCTCTCCAATTTAAGACTTGAGGATGTTGCCAAGTTCGATTAATATACTTGAGAATAAAGAGAATTGAGAAAATGCATGATATATATTATTAGATTTTGTTCAACAGATATAAAGGAGTTCAGAGAAACTAACGGGCTTAAAGGAGAAATCCAAAACCTAACTCAAATCTTAATAAAATAAGAAAACTAATATCTATGAATAATTATATGATTATTTACACATTTTCCCTGATAATTCTAATACTCCCCCCCGGGAGTTGGAGCATATATATCATAGGCTCCAAGTTGGCTACAATTATAATCTACTAATGGACTTTTAAGAGATGAATATATTTGCAAGTTGATCATTGAAACTGACAAATGTATCATTTTCTCCAGATTAAATCTTTTCTCGAATGAAGTGGCAATAAGTTTCAAGATGTTTGGTACTCTCATGAAAGACCGGGTTAGATAATATATGTATTACAACTTGGTTGTCACAAATGAGTCTCATAGGCTACTGTTTGCAAAAGCACAGTTCCTTAACCAATTGTCGTAACCATATGAGTTCAAGATGCTTTAGTTAAACCGAAGGCTTGAACAACGGAACTGAAATAACTAAGCCAAGCCCGAGGAGACTGCTTCAGGCCATATAAGGATTTACACAACTTGCATACCATCCTATAAGACTATCCTTGAGCAACAAAATTGGGTGGTTGCTCCATGTAGACTTCTTCATGCAAATCACTGTGCAAGAAGACATTTTTTATGTCCAACTGAAGAAGGGGCTAATGGTGAATGGCAACAAGTGCAAGAAATAGGTGAACATAATCCATCTTGGCAACAGGAGAGGTGTCCCCATAGTCCAGTCCAAAAATTTGAGTGTATCCCTTGGAAACTAAGTGGGCTTTGAGGCGGTCAATAGTGCCATCAGGGCCAACTTTGACAGTGAATTTTCATCGGCAACCGACAACAGACTTCCTAGGAGTGGCAGGAACAAGATCCCACGTGCTATTAGAGTAAAGAGCTGTCATTTCATCAATCATCGCCTGGCACCAACCCGTGTAAGATAGTGCTTCACTTGTGGTCTTAGGAATGACAATAGATGAAAAACTAACAAAGGAAAAATTTTGTGAAGAGAGATAATCATAACTCAAAAAGGATTAAAGTATATAAGGGTTACGAATGGATCAAATACCTTTGCAGAGGGAAATAAGAGTAGTCTCTGGTGGAGGAGCCATAAGGGAAAAGACGACCCATGAAGGTAGTAAGTCAACTGGTGTCAGGTCTATAGTAGGGCTGGCACTTGCAACTAATAAAGATAAATCACGAAAAGGAATGTAAAGAATATGATCAACCTGTGACACAAAAATTTTGGAACATGAGAAGGGTTGCTGATCAAGAAAGGTGACATTAGCAGACACAACATATCACTTATGATCAGAAGAGTAGTAGCAGTACCCCTTTTGAAAGTAAGAGTAACCAAGAAAGAGACACTTAAAGGCTTTGAATGTTAATTTATCTTTTCTTAGAGTGAGGTCATAAACAAAGCTAAGTACACCCAAAAATATATTGAGGCAGTGAATAGGAAGGTGTACCTGGAAATAACACATTATGCGGGGCTTCATTGTAAAGCACGGAAGAGGGTATACGACTGATGAGATAACATGAGGTAATAATAGCATATGCCCAAAAATAGAGTGGAACATTCATATAAAGGAGAAGGATCCTTGAGGACCCCTTTTTTTACTGATATTTCTTTTTAGAGATCTCACCCCACGTTTGGGGCACATTTTCAGGTTCAGGTGCCTCGGGAGTTGATACCTCGGGCGGCAGGAGGCCAGAGCTTAGTTGACTGATTGATGCATGCTGTTTTTACTTATATGCCTAGTTTCTGACTATGTTTTACCTTCATTACGTTGTTATCGTTGTTGAAACATTGTTGGGCTATGTTGCCTTATTTGGTGAGTATGGAGGTTGTACATGCCATATTGTTTTCACTATGTTATTCAGACTTGAGTTTGTATAATCTATCAGGATACCGTCTGGTCTACATGTTGTAGTTCCGTGACTAGATACGCATTTATTAATTGAGGTTATTCAATTATTTGTTTAAATTGCAATTTACATACATGCATTATTTTGAAAAAGGATTAAGTAATCAACTTGGTTAATAATAATGACGTCATAATTGAAGGGAAAAAGTTAGCTTCTGCATTAAATTGAGTTGTGCTTAATACCGTAATATGATAACAAATTCGGATGCATACGAGGTGTTACATTTTATGGTATCAAAGCACTTTCTAGGGAAAAAGCCTGTATGTATTGCAATAACTTAGGATGTTTGTGGTGTTTCTGTCTTGTGATTTTCTCTTTGGGTTTTGCTATGATAATGCTTGTGTGATCACATTGTATGGGCCTGATCAACTCATCCTTTGTGTAACATGTGCAGAGTTATGGCGCCTTCTAGGAGAACTCGGGAGACGAATGAGGGTCAACCTGATCCTATCCTGACTGCATTAGCTGAGATGCAGGCGACTAGACAAGCCGAACAGGAGGCCACTAGAGCGGCAAACCAGGCTATAATGGATGTAATTAGAGAGACAAACCGCAAAGCCATTGAAGATGTATTGGAGGCGAATCGAATGACGTATATGACTATGGTACGGGTCGTATTGGAGGAGATGAGAATTGGTTGTCATGACAGCCAACATCCTTCGCTGCCACCACCTCCATCCCCACATCAGTGCGGGAGTGGAGTTAGAGGGATGTTAGTTGGGAATGAATCCTCGCTGCTTAAGTGCATCCCGTGTGGAAAGACTCATAAGGGTACTTACTGGCAAGGACAAAAAGTATGTTTCAATGTGGCAAGCCAGGTCACCTTATCAAAAGGAGCGCTACCAAGGTGGAGCGAGCTGTAGGAGTACAA